TTATCTGACAGAGAGAGATACAGCGAGAGAGGGAACACAAGCAGCGGGAGTGGGAGAGGGAGAAGCAGGCTTCCCGCGGAGCAGGAAGCCTGATGCGGGGCTCGATCCCAGGACCCTGGGACCATGACCTGAGCCAAAGGCAGACGCTTAACGACTGAGCTACCCAGGCGCCCCTGGTTTATTTTTTTTTAAAATCACTTCGCCACCAAAAAAAGAAAAAGAGAGAGAAAGAAAAAAGAAAACGTGCTGAACATCACTAATCAGAGAAGTGGAAATCAAAACCACAGGGAAATAACACCTCACTCCTGTTAGAATGGCTATTATCAGAAAGACAAAAAGTATGTGTTGGTGGGGGAGATGGGTGTACCATCTCCTGGGTGGTACAGTCAGTTAAGCATCTGACTCCTAGTTTTGGCTCCAGTCATAATCTCAGGGTCATGAGATTGAGCCCCACATCATGCTCTACACTCAGCTGGGAATCTGCTTAAGACTCTATCCCTCTCCTTCTCCTCTCCCCCTTCCCCCCCCACCACTCCCCTCTCAAATTAATTTTTTTTAATATTTTATTTATTTGACAGAGAAAGAGAGTGCAAGAGAGGGGACATAAGCAGGGGGAGTGGGAGAGGGAGAAGCAGGCTTCCCGCGGATCAGGGAGCCCGATGCGGAGCTCGATCCCAGGACCCTGGGATCATGACCTGAGCTGAAGGCAGATGCTTAATGACTGAGCCACCCAGGCGCCCCTCAAATTAATAAATCTTGAAGAAAAAAAAGCATTAGTGAGGATGTGGAGAAAGGGAACACTTGGGCACTGTTGGTGACAATGTATATTGGTGCAGTCATTTTGGAAAACAGTATGGATATTCCTCAAAAAAATTAGTAAGTATATGATTGTCCAAACTCCACTTTGGGGGGTTTATCTGAAGAAAATTAAAAAAAAACTTGAAAAGGTATATGCACCCTCGTCTTTACTCCAGCATTATGTACAATAGCCAAGAGATGGAAACAATGTAAGTGTCCATCAATGGGCAAATGGATAAAGTATATTTGGTATGAAAAGGACAGTGGACCTTTTCATACCAAATATACTTGAAGCATAATAGTTCACTAAATCTGTTTCAGACTATGGAGAATTTGTATAATAGGATCTACTGCGCAACAGAAACCAGAAATTGCTATCAATGGAAAATTTGAAAAATAAAAAATATATGGTGTACACACACACACACACAAGAACATTATTCAGCCATATAAAAGAATAAAATGTTGCCATTTGTGACAATATGGATGGACCTTATGGACATTATCCTAAGTGAAATAAATCAGAGGACAAATACCATGTGGTATAACCTATATGCAGAATCTAAAACCACAAACAAGAAAACAAACAAAAAAACCCAAACTCATAGATACAAAGGACAAATCAGTGGTTACCAGAGGCAGGGGGTTAGGGATGGGTAAAATGTGTGAAGGGGGCCAAAAGGTAGAAACTTCTAGATCGAAAATAAATCATGGGAATTAATGTGCAGCATGGCAGTTATAGTTAATAAACTACATCACATATTTGAAAGTAGCTAAATCTTAAAATTTCACAAGGAAAAAATGTAGCTACATATGGCGATGGATGTTAACCAGACTTAGCATGATGATCATTTTGCAATAAGTACAAATAATGAATCATTATGTTGTATACTTGTATAGGGTCAATTATACCTCAAAAATATGGATATAAAAATAATGGCATCCTTTGTCCCTATCACCCTTGTAATTGCTGGAAAGTTACTCTAGGGAACATGAATTTGCCCATACCTTCATGCCTTAAAAAACATCAGAGCTGGGGCACCTGGGTGGCTCAGTTGATTAGGCATCCAATTCTTGGTTTCGGCTCAGGTCATATCTTAGGGTCCTGGGATCAAGCCCCGCATCGGGTTCCACGCTCAGTAGGGAGTCTGCTTGAGATTCTGTCCTCTCTGTGCCTCTCCCCCTACATGCGCATGCTCACGCTCTCTCTAAAATAAATCTTGGGGCTCCTGGGTGGCTCAGTCGTTAAGCGTCTGCCTTCAGCTCAGGTCATGATCCCAGGGTCCTGGGATCAAGCCCCGCATCGGGCTCCCTGCTCTGCGGGGAGCCTGCTTATCCCTCTCCCACTTCCCCTGCTTATTATGTTCCCTCTCTCACTGTGTCTCTGTCAAATAAAATCTTTAAAAAAATTAAAATAAATCTTTAAAAAAACACCTGAGACGGGGCACCTGGGTGGCTCAGTCAGTTAAGCAGCTGCCTTCAGCTCAGGTCATGATCCCAGAGTCCTGGGATCGAGCCCCGCATCAGGCTCCCTGCTCAGTGGGAAGCCTGCTTCTCCCTCTGCCTGCCACTTCCCCTGCTTGTGCTCTCTTTCAAATAAATAAAATATTTCATAAATAAACAAACAAACACGTGTGAGTGAGAAAACAGGGAGGTGGGAACTTTGCAACACCAGGCGTTGCATGAAATAGTTGCATGAAATAGTTCTGCAACACCAGGCATTGCAGAAAATAGTACTCTAACCAGACAAGAGAAGTTTTAGATTCTCCAGGCATTCTGCATCTCCTGTTCTTTCATGCTTTCCATTCTTTGCTTAAATTGGCTCTTTTCATCTGCACTAGACTCTAGGGTGAATTCAAAGGGAAAAAGATAAAACATCCATCTACCAAGTCCCTTATTCCTCACTGATAGGTCTGATAAAGGGGTCATGTGGCCTGACACTGAATCCATTAAGTAATTCATGGACAGATCATCTCTGCGTGACATCTACCTGGACTATCTTCTGGCTACCCAGTAATGATTGACCCTCTTTTTATAGGCTGCTTTGCAAAATTTCCACTTCAAAGTTGTGAAGTCTTTGGTAAAACGCTAGGCCAGTGGTTCTCACAGTGTGAGCCCCAGACCACCAGCTTCGGCCACACATGGGAACATGCCTGAAGTGCCAGTTCTCAGGCCCCAGCCTAGACCTACTGAAGCAGACGCTGTGGGGGTGGGGCCTGAATTCTATGTTTTAACAGTGTTCCAGGCGATTCTGAGGCTGCTCAGGTTTGAGAAGCACTGAGTAATTCATGTATGCAACTTCTTTGTTGCTTTGGTCATCCCCAGCCTGCAGAAGTCTATAGTCACCCCAACATCTACAACTTGAATGATAGAAGTTTTTGTCTTAAATCAGATTTTTCTGTTCTTCAAATTTCAATAGTTTAAAATCACATCACATCAAAATTTTAATCAAGATTCCCTCTCTATTTATCTGTAATCCAAAGACTAACATTTAGCCGATTCTGTGACAGGTTTTTTAAAAATCATGAGTGCAGGGTATGAGCAGGTAGGTCTAAATTACCAACAGCTTCAAACACAGACGTTGAGCATTTTTGTTAGACATTTTCAGATGTCAACATAGTCCTCTCCTGAGTTTTGCTGTTTTCAACTTGAAAGAAGTGTAAATACACTCTTAGAGGCTACTCTTACCCCTGGAAATAGTAAATCTGTTTCAGTTTCCAATCATTTCCTCCACTTACTTAGCTCCAACATGGTGCCAGGCACTGTGCTAGGTATTGGATAGCAAATGTTGAGGAGATCTGGTGGTGACCTCAAAAGTGTCACCTCTAGAGAGGTGCTCGCAAATGCGACAGGACCAAAAAATGTATATATAAAAGCTTATGAGTATACCCAGCCTTCTCCCTCTTTCAGCCAACTAAAGGTAATTGAGGCATCCTCATTTCTTTTTCCCTCCCTTGCCCTCTGAGATTTTGACCTTGGTATGGATGGGGCACTCTTTTTGGGTGGAAAGGTATAAATCAAACGTGGGGGGTGCCAAAAGGCAGAGGGAAAATAGACACATTAAAGAATCTATTGTGTCGATCTATGACTTCACTGGCTCAGGACATATTTCTATCCTATACTCTCCCAAGGAATCTCTGTGAACCTCTTTGAACATCTGTGATGGGGCTCATCAAGTCCTCTTTCATTTTCTTCTTCTTGGGAATACAGAAACGCTGCATTTCCCAGGCTGCCTTGAAGTTCAATCGCAATCACAGGATGAATTCTAGCCAATGGCCTTGGAGAGAACAATTTTCTGCTTCCAATGTGAAGCATGAAAGAGGAGTAGGGTTTATTTTTCCTTTCTTCCCCCTTTGCAGAAACCTGGAAGTCATGTCTTCTAAATGTTGATGCTACAAGATTGTGGGGCCACATCAGCCTGGGCCCCTGAAAGACTCTGAAGAGTAGTGACTATCGGCTATCAACAAGCACCGCCCCCCTTGCACTGTGGGAGAAAAAAGGATGGGTGAGAAAGAAGATTTTGAGGAGTTTTGCTTTAGCCTAATTATCCTTTTCACAGTGGTCAAGAGATGCAAGTAAATATTTGGGATTGTTCTGAAATTACCTTTTGGCTGTTGAATTCTGCTTTTTTAAGGCACCACGACTCAGAGCCCGAGCACCATGATTCTAGCTTTGTAAGTATTACCGAAGTAAAATAAAGTTGTTAAAATGGGGGTGTGGACAAGTACCCTGAAAGCATGGAGGTAAAAGAGGCCAAGCCTGCAAAGGCTAACTGGATGCCCGCTCTCCTAATAACACAAAGGATTGCGAAGGTCCTTTTTGCAGCCTCTTCCTTACTCACCCCAACCCCATGCAGCAGAAAGAAAAACAAAGCCAAGACAAAGCACAGACCCTTCGTTAAAGAGGGAAAGAAGAGAACACTGGAAATTATCCACCACATGATGTATTTTGCACAAGCAGCACCATGCCAATTAACATGGTTCTAGAACTCTCAGACTACAAGCAATTCACCATTGAAGGTTACTTGGAATTAATACTGAGTAGCGAGAAATCAGGGAGCCTGATCCCCAAAAAGCACATTGTAGGGACTACAATTTACGGACAGGACTTCCACCTACCTGAGCTGCAGAGCCAGGGCTGGAGGCATAATCTTTGCGCCTATCCTGCCGATGAGGGTCGGGAACACACCCACAAGCTCCACCACTGTGATATGTCGAAGATCCAGGCCACACTGTGCTTGCTGGGAAGCAACAACAGAAGGGGAGGCATGAGCATGAGGAAAGAGACTTCCAGGTCAAACTACAGACGTCCAGAAACAGCAGTGTTCTGTTTGGGAAAGTTTATTTGCCTACTCCAGACATTCTTGAGAACAGTGGAGAAACTGGGGTTCAACTAGTGGCTTAAAACCCAAATACCCTCCTAGAGAAACCATTCAGCAATGGCTCAGCAATAAGATTGTGAAAACCTGAGCAAGATGGCAGTCTTCTGTATTTCCAGAGGAGGTGAGACTTTGCATGAGCTGAAGATCCTAGAAAGTGTCCAAAACCACCCCCAGAGAATTCCAATTTGTTTTCAAGGAGAGAAGAGTTATTTCCAGAGTCCCCTTATCTGCCCCTGCTTCTCCCCCCACCTTTGCCATAAGCTCCTCACACCCAAACACAGTAAGAAAAGACACAGTAATCAAAGGTTTCAATCTTCATCTGGTGCTCTAGTTTTCACATCTGATGACCTGCCTTTTATACCTGCTGCCCACAGGACACCCTTTGATAGCCTGATGCTAGAGGCTGGGGGCCGGGAGGAAAAGGCTTGCATTCCTGGGTCCCAAGGGACCATAACAATTGGAGACAGGGTTACTGGTGAACTACAACTCCTACGGCACAGCGCAGATGGAAGACTGAAACGCCAGCAGCATTTCTTTTTTTTTTTTTTTTAAGATTTTATTTGAGAGAGAGCGAGCAAGAGAGTGAGCGAGTACATAAGTGGGGGGAGGGGCAGAGGCAGAGGGAGAAGCAGACTCCCCCGCCGAGCAGGAAGCCCAACATGGGGCTTGATCCCAGGACCTCAGGACCATCACCTGAGCCGAAGGCGGACACTGAACCGACTGAGCCACCCAGGTGCCCCTCCCAGCATCCTCTCTGAGAATGGGACCTATCTGCTTGTCCAGGAGGTCTGGCCTGAGGGGCAGGCTTTTGGTTTGGCATCCATCTAGGGGCCTCCAGAGGTACTCTCGGGGACTGGCGACCAGTGGATGCTGTCTGTGCTCTAACTCTGCCTCATTCCACCTCACTGGTATCTTCCAGAAAGGAGCTCATTCCCTTGTCTGGGAACTTGATTTTTATGGCTGCCGCCAGGAACACCTCGCTATCACCTGGCTGTGGCGTCCAGTCGGGCTTACACTAGCAGTCCTGCAGGCCCGTAACCAAAGGAGAGAGGGTTCTTAAATAGCCACCACCCTCAGGGCACAGCACGAGGTAATAGACCTGGGAACTCAGTCATTATGTGAAAGAGGCCTGTGAGCTTATCATCATAGGGGCGGCCTGAAGGGCAGGCTTCTCATTAAATACACATCGAAGGGCAGACTGTGAACCTTTCCAGAGACCTTGGACGGTGTCTGGTGTCCTGATTTTTGTAGCTGCCACTCACAAAATGCCCCTTGGTGGCCTGGCTCTGGTGGCTGGGAGGGCTTATGGGACTGTAACAATCAGACAGTTCTTGGCAGGCTCCCCTGCCCCCCACCCCAGGGCACTAGACAGCCGACTGAAGCTCAACCCCAGTATTTCTGTGAAAGAGGCCTGTTTGTTTGGCCTGGATCTTTGGCCAAAGGGGCAGACTTCAGGCTTGGCACACATCTAGGGGCCTGCAGACTTGCTCTCAGGGAACATGGGCCAGGGGACACTGTCTTTGCACCCTCGCTCTCTGGAGGTTTTCTCGGCTAGCCCAGGCAGGGGAATTAACGCATTGCCCTACCCACTATGGATCAAGACTCACAGCCACTCCTGACCAGAAAGCCTATTTGGGAAAATGTGGGAGTTGCCGTAAGTGAACTCTTCCAGTCCTGCCCAGGCAGGAGCATGAGTCATGGCCCCACCAGCTATGGAATATGGCTTCCACCCAGCCCCCTCCCTCTGACAGGGAAGATTGGTAAGAACACCAGGGCACTACCTAACGCAGCCACTCCCAAGCTGGGAGGTAGGTGGGCAGAGCTGATTGCTACCAGAGTGAACACAGTAGTCCTGTTGGGACATGAACGTGAAGCTTGGGTCGACTTGACTCAAGACCAAAAATGAAGAGCATTAGTGGCCTTGGAGCTGCTGCTCCCACTGAGCCCAAGCAGGGAAACTAATGCTTCACCCACTCATCTGTCGCCCCACTTATTGCTGAGCACAGCCTCCCGACTGCCCAACCGGGGCACCTTCCCACAGCACAAGGGATGCTGGGTGGCCTATGTAACAGCCCTGCTTAGAGGGGCACTTGAACAGAGGGCACAGCCCATCACTTTCCCTGTCTGTAGAGCAAAACCGGTAGCCTCACCTGACCATGATATTCAGCGCACACTCTTGCCTCATTCAGGTCCACGAACAGGGAGCTGTGCAGGCCCTGGTTTCCATCGTGCCACCCCACCAGAGCAGGGAGGCGAAGTCATAGCTCCACCTCCTGCTGAGTATAGTAGCCAGTCCTGCCTACTAAGCCTGACTCGAGAATCCAGCCCATCCTACAGCTTCACTTGGATAAGGAAGCAAGCCAGCAGTCTTATCCAGCTATTCTCAGTAGGGGCACACACACCCCACCCCCGACCACCGGCCTTAGAACCCAAACAGGCTCTATCTTGGGGTAAGGCAACTAAGAGCAGGCCCCACGTGTCCAAAGACACTACTGGCAGACATGTCCAAAAAACCAAAACTGAGCTGATTGCTGAGAACTGTCTCAGCCAGAGTGAACCTGCAAAGTCTGGACAAGAACACTTACTCGAATGTGTAGATACCAACACAAGGAATCAAGGATCATGAAAAAATACCAAAGGAAACCAATCAAGAACACCACCAAAGGGAACTAATAAAGCTCTAATAACCGATGCTACAGAAATGGAAATCTATGAATGGTCAGAAATTCAGAATAATTCTAAATTTAGTGAACTACAGGAATGCATAGACAACTAGACAAAATTAGGAAAGCAATGTATGAACAAGACGAGTTCAACATAGAAACAATTAGAAAAAAACAGGGGTGCCTGGGTGACTCAGTCCATTAAGCGTCTGCCTTTGGCTCAGGTCATGATCCCAGGGTAACTGGGATTGTGCCCCTCATCGGACTCCTGACTCAGTGGGGAGCCTGCTTCTCACTCCCCCTCTCCCTCTGCCATTTCCCCTGCTTATGCTCTGTCAGATAAATAAAATCTTTTAATAAATTAAAAAAAAAATCCCAGGGGTGCCTGGGTGGCTTAGTTGGTTGAGCGACTGCCTTCAGCTCAGGTCATGATCCTGGAGTCCCGGGATCGAGTCCCGCTCAGCGGGGAGTCTGCTTCTCCCTCTGACCCTCCTCCCTCTCATGCTGTCTCTCATTCTCTCTCTCTCTCAAATAAATAAAATCTTTAAAAAAAATTAAAAATAAAAATCCCAGAGTTAACGCATACAGTAACTCAACTGAACAATTCTATACAGAGGGTCAAAAGCAGTCTTGGCCATGCAGAAGGAAAAAAAAAAAAAAAAAAAATCAGGAACCTGGCAGATGCAGCATTTTAAACTACCCAGTCAGAGGAGAAAAAAAGAATAAAGAATGTAAAGGAATAAAGCCTAAAGGACTTATGGGACAGAATGAAAAGAAACAATATTCACATTATGGGAATTTCAGAAGGAGGGAAAAAAAGGGAGAAAGGGGCAGAAAATATATTTAAAACAATAGTGGCTGAAAACTTCCCAAACCTGGAAAGAGAAATAGACATCCAGATCAAAGATGCCCAAATGATCTCAAATAGGGCTGTACTGAGACACATCATAATTGAATTGTCAAAAGTCAAAGAGCAATAATTTTAAAAATAGCAAAAGAAAAGAGAGAAGTTACATACAAGGGAAACCCATAAGACTATTAGTGGATTTTTTAACAGAAACTTTTCAGGCCATAAGATAATGGGATGGCATATTCAAAATATTGAAAGAAAAAAAACTGTCAGCCAACCATAATATACCAGGTGAAGTGGTCCTTCAGAAATGGGGAGATAAAGACTTTCCTGAGCAAACCAAAGTTGAGGGAATTGATCTCCACTAGACCTACATTATAAGAAATGCTCAACAGAGTTCATTAAGTGGAAATAAAAGAATACTAGCTGACATCATAAAGACATAAGGCGACAATGTAAAAGTCACTGTTGATGGTAAATATATGATCAAAATTGGATTCTGTAATATGATAAAGATGATGCTTAATTCACTTACAGCTCTAGTTTTAAAGTTAAAAAACAAATGGAGTGAAAATAACTCAAACTACAATCATCTGTTATTAGTTACACAATATAAAAACGTGTGAACTATAACATCAATAACCTAAAATGTGAGAGGGAGAAGTACAAGTATAAAGCTTAGGAATTCTATTGAAGATAAGCTGATATTGGTTTAAAACAGAGTGTTACGATTTTAAGATATTGTATGTCAGTCTCACGGTAACCACAAGGGAAAAACCTGTACTAATTATACAAAAGAACATGAAGACGTCAAAGCATATTGAAACCATAAGACATCAAACACACACACAAAAAGACAGCAAGACAGAAGAAACAATAGAGCTATAAAACAATAAAAAAACAACAAAATAGAAGGTACATTCTTATCAATAATTACTCTAAATGTAAACACATTAAATTCTCCAAAGGACAGAATACGTGGATTTTTTTTTTTTTTTTAAAAAGATTATTTATTTATTTGAGAGACTGAATGAGAGAAAGAGCACATGAGGGGGGGAGGGTCAGAGGGAGAAGCAGACTCCCCTCTGAGCAGGGAGCCCGATGCGGGACTTGATCCCAGGACTCCAGGATCATGACCTGAGCCGAAGGCAGTCGCTTAACCAACTGAGCCACCCAGGCACCCGTGGATTTTTTTTTTTTTTTTTTAAAAAGATCCAACTATATGCTGCCTACAAGAGACTCACATTAGCCTTAAAGACACATATAGTCTGAGTGTGTGAATGAAAAAGGATATTTCAAGTAAATGGCAACCACAAAAAGTAGAAGTAACTATACTTGTATCATAC